GGTATTCGATAATGTCCCCACGGCAAGGTGTCGGTCGAATCAGGTACGACATACCGCTTGTCGTCGTAGGGACTTAGAGCAATTTTCGTCTCGCTGATGGTATACACTTTATGCAATTTCGATCTTATACATGACTGTTGACGCGTCATTTCAATCTCGTCATTAAGACAGCGTGTATAATCGTCGAATGTTATACTACGCGCTACGACGTTACTTTTGACACCTTTTGCCTTTTTAGTGTCCTTTTTACCATCCACCCGCAAAGCATACATTTTTGCTCTAAGCCCGACGAATTCGGTCATTATCGCGCCGTTATTCTCATCTTTCATCAGACCCGGCACCTTTTTATTCGCGAGCGGTATACCGTACGCATTATTCGCGGCGTAATCGCTGGTATCGAATCGAGCGATGTCGCGTTTCAAATTTTCATAGACATCCTGACATTTAATTTGATATATTAAACTATCCGTGTCGGTGTACATTACTCTACAATTGTCACGATAGAGCGGTGACATGTATTCGTGGTGAAATTCATAAAGACATACTTTTGATACGTCGAGTATGCACATGCCGACGTAGATTGGTTTGTAGAATTTAACTTCGAGTTTGCGTAATTCTATGGCAACTAATTTTTCCGAAAATATGCTTGTACTATGAAAATTTGGTTTAGCGATCATTGCCTCCGCACCGTACCGTCCGTCCCATTTTGTTAATAATTTTACATCCATATGATTGCGCACATTTTCCATCGTCTTGCCGAATACCGCGTTATTCATCAATTTATATAAATTTTTTTCAAAATCGTTTTTCGCTCGTGTTCTAAACTGTGTGTTAAGTTCGATGTATTTTTGAAGCCACGCTGACTGCGTGAATTGTAGTATGCGATATATTTTTGTTATGCGTAGCCCGTGGCGCGTGCACTGCTGCAGATTACGATAGTGTATTACGTAGCGCTTCTTATCGTAAAGCGTTGCTAGGAGTTTATATTCCCGCTTGCCGGGCGGCTTATCGCGCGTCGGGCAAAACGGTAGGTCAATGTGCGCGTCATGAAGATGCTGCGGATACTCTAAATCTACTTCGAGAACATAGCCTATAGGTGAATCGAACGCGATAGATGATACGTCAAAATTCGATATATCGTCGACCCACCGAAAATCAGCATATGGCAATGGTTGACACATTGCCCATCCGTACAAATTATTTACATCGAAATACATGAGGTACGATGAGGGTTTCGATGGGTCGTACGATTGCATGTACTTGTTATTAGCCTGTGCGTATCGGCCTGAACATTGACTAAGGCCACCGCGTATACCTCGTTCGACAAACATAACCATGTCAATGTCTGTTAATAATTCAAATTTTATATTCGTATGTTTTAACATGGCGTCCCATGTATATCCGGGGAGAGTATAATAATACGCGGGATCGAGTCCGTAACTTTTTATACAACTATCGCGAAAATTCTCAAATATATCGGCCAATAACAAGACATCAATTTTTAAATATAAATCGCTATATTCGCCTAGCGTTCGAAGGGAGAATCGGCTCCAGACGGTCTCGGCGTGCGCGTAATCACTCTCGGATACTGTGTCGCCGGTTAAGGAACTGTAAAATGAGTCGCGCGGCGGTAAACGTGTGTCTTGTAATCTGTCCACGCAGTCTATGTATTCGTATGGAAAGACACCCTTTCGTGTCAATAAATTGAATTTTTCACTAGTTAAATTTTGATATTCCGAATGTAAAATTTTTAGTTTATCTTTATCCAAAAATGACGCTAATTTGTCGAGACTAGCACTGAGAAACTTATACGAATCGATAAAGCGTAATTTGATATAATTTTTTGCATTTTTGTCTTGTGTCAATCTAACAGTTTTCGAGAATGATATATATTTTTCCTTTGTTATCGGCAGTAATTCGATTTCCCCTTCGAACGCTGTGGCTATGTCCTCGATAATAAAATGTGCGTCGTAGCCGGACAGATTGTGAAAGACTATAGGGATACAAAATGATTCTTTGTAATTTAAGTTACAATTTGAATGCGCAGGACCCCTGTACCGCCCGGTGAGGTGGCAATGATCGCGGACGCGTGTATCGTCTTCGTCAAACGGTTTTTCACAAATGTGACAATGCGTCGCGGTGCGAAATTTTAACCACTCGTCAGGCGTTAAATTTACCATGGGGACATTGGTCGTTAAAATATTTTTTACGCGGATTGCTAAATTTTTAAGCTGTTCGGCGAACCATGCGACGCAATCGACACTACGGCGGGAATTGTACGCGGACAACGAACTGTCATACGAACACTGTACATAGTACGCGATGCTGAACACTTGATGGTGTTGATAATTTTTGGCATCTTCGGTCTTTGCCAAAACACACTCGAGATCGGCGTACACTACAAACGGCAGCCGCTCCTTCCTCGTGTAGTTGTCGAAGCTGAGCCACTTGTCCTTGTCGCTCGGCAACCGAATAGCACAGTCGTTCAATTTCCCGCAATCTTCCGTATGCGCTTGCAATTTATCCACCGCTCCGAAATAATGTAGGCATCTGTAAAAAATAAAAAATTTAATGAAAATTTAATTAAAATATAATTTACGTGTAATAAATATATATATACTTACCGATCGCATATAAATTTTTTACATTTCTTTTTGCTCAGCTGTGAGCTCACGAGGCGAGACAGATTTTTTATCAAAACAAAATGCCCGACGCTGTTTTCGTCTTCCACGTACAGCAGATTGACGTGCCTGTCCTTCTTTTTTTCCGAAAGACGCAACGGGACGATGTTCTCGTTCTCGATGATGTACACATTCACGGAGATGTCGTTTGCAAGTTCAAACTTTTTAATTTGATTCACAGTCACTGGAAACTCAATGTTTTGGAGATTCAGCACTGTGGTGTAATGCGGATAGGAGGATTCTCGTTCCATATGTCTTTCAGCGGGGTACAGAGCGGCTACTACTGACCATGCGAAACACGCATTGTCCGCTGATAGCACATTAACAACCGCTCTTTTTACCATAATTTTTTGCGGTAATTTGACATGGCATCCAGCGCGCATAGGATTATACTTGTTGATATTTACTGTCAAATCTATTATCCGCGACAATGCCCAGCCGCTATCGCGTTCCTGGAACTCTTCTAGCGATGCTAGCGTGGGCTCGATTACGCGGCGCTCGTACCACTCGCGTACATCGGACGTGCGAAAGAGTTCAAAGTTTCTCGTATTAATACTTTTATTGGCACGCTTGTCACCGGACACAAATTCGCCGTTGAAAACAGTGTTCACTTTTACACTGATGTGTCTCTGCAGCACATTCTCCATGTTCTCGACTACAATGTCTGCTGCATTTTCCAAAAACTGACGCGGTTCGATATAGTCGACGTTAATTACCGCACCGGTAAGTATACGGCTATCGAACGCCGTATCGATCTCGCGCCAAACGAGTCTTTGCGCGTTATTGCCGCCGCCGCTGCCACTAGGTATGGATCCACCACTAAACATGGATTCACCGACATACTGTCTCTGCAAGCGCACCTTCGCACCCTCGAGTCGCGCTATTCTCGCCACGAGAGATTGCCTATGTCCAATCGAGAGACGCGGACGCTTGGCACGGCTGCGTTCTTCCAGCTCTTCGATAAATTCTTCGCACTCTTGCAGCCATCCGAAATATTCGCCCAAGGTGCCGACTTGGCGGGAACGCTCCAACAGGTCGCGCTCAATGTTCTCCATTTTTTATGTCTGGCACTTTTTCACACTTTTAACCTCAGCCTATTTTCGCTGACATTCGCTGCAATCCCTGATCATCGGTGCTGGACCGTCAATATGCGTTCGCATCCACGGCCGATTGTAATGTTCGAGGCAGCGACGATATGTCTGAACCTCCGGATCCGTCTTGATATGCTCTGGAAGCTTGTCCCACAAATGCTCTACGAAATATCCACACTTTTGTAGTAAAACAATCTTCGGAATATATTGTAACTGTTCGGCACTTAAACTGAGAATGTCGGAAGCACTTGATAGCATGACAAACATCTTGAATGAAGAGAGCGTGCGCTCGCCAGTGGTACTATGGCCCGGCAGCGGCATCGGTCCTCGTTATATATCCCAATCAACCCTTTGTTCGTCAACGTACGAACGAGAAAAATTTAGATGACGTAAATTTTCGGCGCTTGTTTTGTTTATAAATTCCTGCAGCCGCTGGTTATCGGCGCTGGTATTTCTTAGAAATATACGTATAGATCATGTATCAACCCCCTTGATTGTCGGCGTATGCCAAGCGGTGGCCCTTCTTAAAATTTGATTATCTTAGATTTTCAGAGAACTGATTGTCGGCGCTCGGATCCAAGCGGCCCTTCTTAGAATTTAATTATATTTCTTAGAAATATACAGATAACGTATGGGGGAAGAAACGCAACCCCCTTGATTGTCGGCGTATGCCAAGCGGTGGCCCTTCTTAGAATTTGATTATATTTCTTAGAAATATACAGATAACGTATAAGGAGAAGAAACGCAACCCCCCCCCTTCCCCCGATTGTCGGCAGCCCTTTGTAATAGATATTGTTTATCTTTTGTTTATAAACATAAACGTATGAAGAGAAGAAACGCAACCCCCCCCCCCGATTGTCGGCAGCCCTTTGTAATAGATATTGTTTATCTTTTGTTTATAAACATAGACGTATGAGGAAAAAAAACGCACCCCCCCCCCCCGATTGTCGGCAGCCCTTTGTAATAGATATTGTTTATCTTTTGTTTATAAACATAAACGTATGAAGAGAAGAAAACGCAACCTCCCCCCCCCCCGATTGTCGGCAGCCCTTTGTAATAGATATTGTTTATCTTTTGTTTATAAACATAGATAAGCTTATCTGCTGATAAGACCCCCCGCCCGCGTGACGTCATACTCCCTCGCCCCCGAAAACCCCCCCCCCCCCCCGCACCCCCCTCAGAGGACCCGGGTTAGAACCCCCCTAGTATTCCTACTAACTATTTAACGCAGAACGAAAGTAAAATAGTGGACGAATTCTTTCAGTTAGCCGTCTACGATCCGTGCTTAGGAAGCCGTACCGTGGCATACGAGGGTCATCAATACGATTATAAGATTTTTGCCAATAGTTCTATTTATATCCCTTATTATGCAACATTAATTGAATCGACATCATATTGCTTTACTATTATTTTGGAAAGGGGAAATACGTTTGAAATAACTTTCTGTTCAGATCTAAAGGAACTTTACAGAAACGCTATGAAGTACTCACCTGAGTTTCGTTGGATACATCGTATGATTGATATACATTGCAGCTTGAATTTAGTGGGTATATTATTTTTAGTGGCAGTATTTCTAGTGTATTCCATATTGCCAGAACTCCGAAATGAACACGGCTTCATGTTGCGCAATTACTGTGCATGTTTATCCATCACATTCGTGATTGATACAGTCAAAGTTTTACATTTGAAAGAGGAACCGACATACATCCGTCCCGTCTGTATTACAATTGGTACAGTATATCTAGCAATAAATTACATAAATATATAAAATAAGTGCAGAACGTATTTGTCAATCATAATATATTTCCGCATAATACATCTTCATTATTTGAATATATATAACACACTGGTTAAAATACAATTGTCAATAATGAATTAAACTAAAATTTAATGCATTTTAATTATAATCTAAGTTTGCCCCAACATATATATATATATATATATATATATATATATATATATATATGTATATACATATATATACGAAATTTTGTTTTATAGAATTTTGCAGTGTTAATGTCTTGAAATATTATTTAATTTAATATCGATAGTATCAGTATTCATAATAATGAATAAATATTGTTATTAACTTTTGGTGCAGAATATAGTACATAAATCTGTTTAAAAGTGAAGAATCAAAAACTTGAATCTTTTGATTTTTTTTCATTTTTACGCACGCTTAGTGATGAAAATAATATTTATTATTGTAACCTTTATTTATATTCATTTTTCAGCCTTTTTAAGATATTTTTGGTTTATGTCGAGTTCCTTTTGGCTAAGTATCATGAGCTTTAATATGTGGCGGACATTCAGGTAAATAGCCAAGTATTTTATATTGTACTTTAATTCTTGGTTTCTGATTTTAATCTGTCTTTACATATGGTAATTGCTTTATAGTATTAAATATACCAAAAATTTTGTCAAAATAACTTAAATTTTTTGAAATTAGAAATAGCATATATATTAAATAATATACATTATTTATTTAAATTAAAAAATATTTATGAATTATTACAACGTAATCTATTTCGCAACTTGATTTCAAACTTGATATTTATATTGCGTCGATCTTTCTTTATGAATAAAATAAAGCAATAAACAATAATTTTTTAACATAAATATATTTTTTATCTCTAAATATTAAATAATTTAATTATTTTTTTTCATAGAATAATTATGTAATTCGATAATAGTTTCTAAATATTATACAATGTAATGATCAAAAACAAACAATAATTTAAACCTTTTACAATGAGATTTCTTTTATTTACACTTACTTAGGTAAATATGACATGTACATTATACATGTAAATTACAGAGAATTTTCTTCGCTACAAAGGAACGTCAAAGGAATTATACAATCAGGAAAAAAAAAGTTGGTGTATTATGCTATTTTTGCGTACGGATGTCCATTTGTATTTGCAATTGTTTGTGTCATTGTTGCGGATTATTTTTCCGAGTATTTACCAAAAAATTTGAGACCAGAATTCGTAGAAGGATCTTGCTGGTACTCTAGTCAACGTACGTTTTAGATAATTTTATTAATGCTACGCAATTTAAAAGTATGCAACAGTATATAAGATATCATACTTACAGATTTTGAAGCGTATATATTTTATTATTACTGGATCAGTACTACCTGTATTGTTAGTAGCATTTGCTTATCCATTTCTTCGTCTCGAAATATCAAACGGTGTGAAAAGGATGCAAATTTTCGTCTAACAGATTCGGAAAGCAGGCAGTATAATCAAAATAAGAAATGGTGAGTAATCTTACATTTTGCATCACTCTGTGATAAACTTTTATTTTATATTAGTAAGATTTCTGTAGAAATATTTTTGTGAACATCTCTGCCGACATCACATACTCGCTTAATTCGCATTCCAGATGAAAAAGAGATACGATTTTTTTAAAACAATACATTTTAACTGTGCTTATTCTTGTCTTTTTATTATCATTTTTCCTTCTATTTTGTAATAACATAATCTATTAGAGAAGAAAAACAATTATTTCTGTAACTTGCATTAGGTCTTTTCGAAAACGTGTGTAATTCTCGAAATGTCGTAAAGAGTGAAAATCAACGAATATATATTTAATACATAAATAATTACATTTTTGAAGTATTTCTTTAAATGACTTTCTCATTTCCCCATTTTTAGAAATTGTAATTTGTTCCACCATTTTCAATTTAATAATTTGATACATAAAATTTGTTATTTTTTTTTTTAAATGACTAAATATTAATATATATTTCTTTGCAGGTTTAATCTATATATGAAGTTTTTTATCATATTGTTTATCACTATGGGTATAAATTGGATTTTGTATACAGTTGGATGGCATTTATATACAATACAATTATATTATTATTGTTTTTGCATTAATATTGCTAATGCTTTATTAAATGTAACAGAGTATTTCTTGGTCTTTATCATATTTGTATGGAAAAAGAAAATCAAGTCGATGTTATTGAAACGATTCGGATTCGAGACAAATACATCGACTTGAATACCACTTTTGAGGAATCTATGCAGGAAAAGGCGAACTTTTGCGGAAAAAGATTTGTCACACGAAAAACTCATCTAATGAAATTGAATTCTACTGTTGTCAGTATGTAAAGAAAAGAGTTTTATCACAGATCAAATATCAACGATTAATATAATTGTATATAATCGCAATTTAATATAATCTTATAAAATTGAAAGTTACAATGTTATATTTTACGTGATGTTTAGATTTCTTCGAAGGGTTTAATTAAAAATTTTACATAGAAAATTTGTCTTATCGCAGTGCATATAATTATTTTAAATTAATGCGGTTTAAATTTAGTAAACATTTTTCGTCAAAAAATAATCTTTTATGAAAGCTATACAATATATTATGCTGTATATTATTATAAAAATGATTTCTGCTTCAAATAAAATCATATTATACATTTATATAAATATCCCTTATGGAAATTTATTATTAGTAAGACAAAATAATAACTTATTTCGGTTACTTAAATTACTGTATATCAGTAATTTAAGTACTCTCAAAATATGTGATTATTTGGACTTACCAGTGATAAATTTCCATAAGAGATATGTATATATAAAGGGAAAGTATGATTTGTTACAACTGATGACATGGTCCATACAAATAAACGAATATTTTTAGACGCAACGGTGTTAAATGTATTTATTGTTTATAAATAGTATATATTTTAACGAGGTGCTCAGTGTAGCTGAGATATGACAAAAGCGCGGTTATACATATATATATATATATTTAAGAGTGAAAGAAGAATCAATGGATAAATATAAAGTATAAATAATAATCGAATAAACAATGGCTATCTCATCATTCATGTATGACTTCTAAATTTTTGGGATACTATAAAACTTTTTTGGCCGAAATAATTGAGTCAAAAATAAAAAAAAAATTATAAGAATATTTATTATTTTTGATATATTTCTGATATGAAATTCTAATGTATAGCATATTTCCTATTTTTAAAGCATAGTTTGAATTTTTTAAATTTATTTAACGCATTTTTCCAAGCTCTGGAAACAAAAATTCATTTGTTGCAGCCAAAGTCATTACAACATTTTTAATAATAAATTAAATTAGAGAAAATATTTCTAATGACGCCAGTAAATATAATCACTAGGATAAGAATATTTTAATGTGTAGACGACCAAACTGAGCAAATAGTATTCCTTTATTATATATTTGTCATAACGTTTCAACCTGTCAATGGGCTCTTACTGCGCCTGCTGTTGAGTGCGTCTTAGTTCGTTGGCGTCCGTCGACGTGTTCAGACGTGTTTTGTCTGAAAGAATTTTTTCCTTTTTGGTCCATTGTAGATCTAATTAGAACTTATGGCCGGGAAGGAAAAGCCAAGTCTGGCTTATATAGGCCACTAAACCGTGAAGAAGAAGAAGAAGGGTGCGTCCGTGGAGTTTCTGCGAGGACCCCCGTCCTCTCTTCTCACAACAGCTCTCTATGTCCGTTTCGGCCGAATTCCTTTCCTTGGCTGATATTGTTTATGTCAGCAATCAAATCGGCTACGTTCATTCTCGGCCGCGTTTTTGCCTCGTTATTTGCTGCTACGGTTAATTTCCTCGAAAATATAATATTCTCTCTTTCCTGGCAAGGCTCCCGAAAAATAAAAATAAAATGAAATAAAAACTCTCTCTCTCTCTCTCTCTCTCTCTCTCGACGCAACCGCTCTGTCCTGCGATCGGGAGTGCACGTGCATCGGGACGACCACGTCAAAGTACATACATGGCATGAATGTTTTATGTCAAATATGTGTTTACTTGTATAACAGTCGAAAGTCGAAAGTCATACGCACGTATGCATAGCGCAACATTGTACGTATCGCTTAAAGCGCGACGATGGTCGAAAAGCAAAGTAGTAAGGCAATAGGACGGTATTGCGAAGCGTTTAATAAAAAAAACGAGAAATCACTCGGCACTCGATCAGATAAATATTAACGCGCTTTTTCGCCTTCTATCTAATACTATTAAATTCGTTTTTGTCATTAATAATTGTAAAAAAATTTTTAATAATTGTAAAAAAATTATTTGACTTTTACAATCATCTATCTTTATTTCTACAAATACACATTTTATTTGTACAGTAGAATTTATAACAGAAAAGCATTAAAAATGCAAAAATTCAAAAATTTACATAATCCTGTATACATACACATATAAGATTCAAAAAACCAAACACTCACAAACCGTTCCTTTTTTTAGTATGTGGGACTACTTTATATATCCTCCGGTAAGGGCTGTAAGTTATGAGACTTTTTCTTTATAGGAAAATATACCGCACTAAAACCCATACCTAATGTAGACACTGCTTCAAGTCAAGATAAGCGGAGTGTGTTTCTGTCATTCGATACACTGACCGTCCCTATCAACATATATAAATAGTATAAGAGCAAGGCAACGTTAAAGAATTCTTTAACGGCTAACAAAATTCCAACTTATACACATTATATTGCATTATTTTAAATATTTAGGCTAGATAAATAACATAATACTTCATATTTACGATTATATCTTAATGAAATAAATAGGTATCCAAATTTTTAATAATATTGCATTTTCAATATTGCGATATAATACGAATTATATTCTCATGGTTAATAGCTGCTATGATAAAAAAAAATACACGTATTGCTTATTTTAATATTTTTTCAACAAAAAGAGAGAGACAACAAAAAAAATGCAAACTATATGTATATACAGCATCGTCGAATTTAGCAGCGCGAATGTCTTAAAATCACTCGTATAATTGTTTATTCTCAACAGGCGCGACAAAGTGGGTTTCACACGCATAAAAAATATTTATCTATTTTAAAAAAGTATTGCTAATATCGAATAAGTATTTTTTCACAACAAATCAATATTATTAATTTTAAAAAAATGATGTGTTAACGGCACTATTGAAATAAATATTTATTTGAAATTAATAGCCTTTTTTAGTGTATAGAGTATAGATAATTGTCAAAAATATAAAAAGCAATATAAAGTTAATACAAACATCGAATCACTTGACAACACGTATTTTGACATTTTTGGAGAGTTGTCTAATATGTAATCCTTAATTACTTTGTTTTTTGTTTTGTTTCACATTTTAATTATTTAAATGTTACATCGAACTTTAATGTGATACACTCACCAACAGTCATGACTCTTTAGAAATAAGAAGTCTAAATAATTTTTAACAATTAATCCTTTTATATTTTTCACGACGTTGTAAGTAAATTTTAATTTATTCCTTTTAATATATCTTTTATTAAATTGATTTACTTTTAACAAAATATTTTAATGATGTTTTAGTTAAAAGGGATTATATATTATATATTTTATTTTTTATTCTTTTTCTTTTTACCAACAGTTTGATGGTAGAACGACTTGTTCACAATTGACATTGTCAAATTTAAATCAACAACTTCTCGCTTCTGAACAATGATTTTGTTAATAGGTTTTTAGCGTTGTCAGGCCGAGTTATTATTACCATCTTAAAATATGTTTTAATCATGTTTCACACGATAAGGGTTTCTTACGTTTTCGTTTGCATTTCTTAAATTTTAAATTTATATCTATACAATTTTATATATTTTGCAATATTCATGTGTAGGCGATTATATCTGCTTTATATTTTTATTTATTATAATTATTTGTTAACAAATTTTTATACTGAGGAAGACTACTTATAGTCGTTACGTTTAGATCCAACAAAATAAAAGCAATTTTAATACATACGAAAAATGTTTATACATTGTTGTTTATTTATCCAAATATTGCTCGTTTAGTTGGTCTTTTTTGTAAGATATTGCGTTATAATACACGAGCCTAATTATATTTTTTAAGTTTTATTTTATTTTATAGGTAATTGTAATAATATGATTCTTGCTCACATTATTTCAAATTGTTGAAGAAGGATAAAAGACGATAGTATTAATTTTTATCTGAAGAACGCTCGCGAGAAAAGAAGAGAGATATTTCTTTCTTCATCCGCGAGCGATAAGGATAAACAAAGTAGTGCGCCGTCGTTCTCATGCCGTATGATTATGTTGCACTATATCTACAATATGTATATTAGACATGCAATCAATCTTTTTTTCTGCAAATAGAGATAGAAGAAATTTAAGTAGTGCGATGCGAAAAGGTTTTGATTTAAATTATATAAGAAAAATAAATACACCAGCGCAATGTGTTTTAAAAAGTATAATTATTTCGTATTTGTTCAATGATATTTGTGACGTCATTCTGACTATTCGTTTTATTAAAAAAAATTGCAACTAATCGATTTAGGCGTTTAAAATAATATATGCAATAACTAATGCAAAATAAAAATTTTTAATATTTTGTAATAAATATTTGTAATTACATTGAATGTTAGATTGAATAAACGTTTGATAGATTTTTAATGGAGCGAGGGAAAACCAGGAACAAGCAGACAACGAACACATTTTTAACAAAAACTTGGCCGGGTCGGGACATTAAAATTTGACATTCAATAAATTGTAAAATTTGATATGCAATTAATTGTATATTAATATGCATCACTAAATTTATGTATAGAATAAATAAAATTTTCTTCAAGTATTTGTATAACTAAATCAAATCTATACTTCTATACTAATATATAAAGTAGTAAGTTGTTCGTTTCATTGTTAGGGGTAATCTCAGAAACTATTCAACCGATTTGCAAAAGATCTTTCACTAGTGAATAGCTTAAATCTTCCTGAGTAACATAGGCTATATGCAATCGTCTTGCAATTTCTAAAAATGTACGCGTCGTACAAAAAACGTTCATTACGCTTTATATTTTCCAATAATTTTTTTAATTTAACATTGTAGTGTAAATAATTCATATGTACTAGTGAAGATTTTATCATAATCAGTCGTATAATTATTAAATTATTGATAACAAATTTACTTCTTTATATATTAGTATAGATAGATAGATAGAAGTATAGATAAGTAAGTATAGGGCTTTTAATA